TAGATAGTCTTTATATGACTATAATTTGCGTAGTGGCATTTAGAAACGCGTACTGCACCAACAACACAGAAACTCTTCGTAATCTCTCCACCATTCCACTAAGTCATACGTTGTCCACCTCGCGGTTCCCTCCATTCTGAAGGAGGCACGGAAAACAACGCTCGTCTCGGTGGGCGGAGTTTCGGCGTGCATGGCACTTGACAGAGCCACAGTTAGTGGTGCTGGATGTTGTCCGCGATCGAATTACCTGCTGAACAACCAACTGCCTGTTTTCTAATTACCTATTTACGAATTCGTTGACGTATCCGACACTAGCAACGGTTCCGAGGCATCAGTATTCAAAGACCCTAAGACGTCTCACGCCATGTGTCCACAGAGGCCGTATTTCGCAACCGTATGGTAATACAGCCCCTACTGTGGCCTGGCACACCAACCCTTGAGATCCAGTGATATGCCTTTTTGACGCCACAAGTGATGCGAATTGGTAAATGTTATTCGAGCTTTTGGGATTCGTGCACCGACTTCATGAGACGCACTTCCGTTAGTGCTAATACAGTTACCGACGTGCGTAAGATTCTCCACAACCATCAGTACTTCTGAACGTTCTGAAGCATGACTTTGCGCTTTGAAGGGGGCGATATGGCCCAAGTGGTGAGAGCGCGAATTTACTGACCGGAAGGTCCCTGGTTCGAACCCGACATCTGCCACTCGACTTCCCCTCTCTAGGCTTGGGCAACCTGGCAGTATCCCAGCCCTCGTACTTCCTCCGGGTGGCATGGCAGCTAGGCACCGAAAGGGTGTTACAGCTGAATGATTATTATTATTATTATTATTATTATTATTATTATTTGCGCTTTGAAGATGTAAGGCGCATACCAAAAGATGGTATTATGGCGATCAGTTTATTCAACTGACCTTGCACTTAGCCCTCATCTTGAAAGGTGAATACGACGTCGACAAGATTCTTACCAGCAGTCATAGCACTGGGGGTTTGAATAAGATTGAAGCGAATGAATGTCCTTTCGGCTACCTTTTTTGCAGGGAAGCTTTTGGAGAGCTCACCATACACTCTCACCCGACCAAAAGTATGCAAATATAGGGATCGGATTATGTTCACAAACTCCTTGGGTATACTCTGTTGAGCAAGTGTGGTTAAGAGCACCGACAATCGACAGGATCAACTGAATCCTTGGAGTTTAGGAATACGAAGATTGTGGGTCGTCTGCATATATGGCATTGCCCCAACACCTTACGGAGCGTAAAGATGTAGTGAACTCAGGCTCTACCTTGTCGAAATCCCGTCTGATACTCGCGCTTTCGCGTACCGCCGTAGACGGCGAAGAATCAGTGACACCAGAAGCCTTGCTACAACGGAAGTTAAGCTTCCACCTCTGTGGTTACCGCATTCACTGCGAGTACCCTTTTTAAAATATCATTATTGGCTCATCATACTTATCTGGAACGGCCTCTTTCTCCAATATAGACGCAAATACTTTAGACAGGCACTGACCGGTGAATTCACAGTAATCGTTCAACAGGGGAGGTGGAAGTTCGTCAGGGCCAGGAGCACAATGACGCTTGAGTGGGTTCCGTTTTCATAACCAACCTTTCTGTTGAAGGCCGGCAGTCCGGATTCGTGGTAGTGGGTGGCCTTCTGAATCGTTTTTTGGAGTGCTACGGCCAACGGTCTTTTTCGGAATATCAGGGAGCCATTGTAATCCCTGATAGCTTCACTGAAAAGGGGCTTCCGGTGAGCGGTCGGGCGAATCAAGTGGGATTGCCTACGGACGTATACAGCATTTTTTTTTTACATCCATTCCTTTGGCCTTTTTGATCCATGAAACTTTCCAATCTGCATGGACACTTACTTTTACCTTAAATGAGATGGTGTATTGGGTTGAGTTAGGGTTGATACCAGCCTAATCTCCAGCAACGCAAAGACCCTTTCAGAGATCCAATATTTGAATGAGATTGGCTTGTTGTGCAGAAGATGGATGTTCCGGTTCCCGGGTGGCCATTAATATGCGACATCGGACGGTCTGGAGGAAGTTCGAGGAGCCGACGGTGCCACTTTCGTTTGATTTTTTGGTCCGCTAGCTTCTGAATTGCTAAGCGAGCTGTTCATGTTTTGCCTAGTCATAAAGGCGCAAAGAAAAGCAGCAGCGCACAAGTGCATGCCCATAGTCCACGCTGGTATTCAACAAGGAACGGTAAAACCGAAAAAATTCGTTCAGCTGTAACACCCTTCGGGCGCCTAGCTGTCATGCCACCCGAAGGAAGCATGAGGGCTGGGATACTGCCAGGTTGCCAAAGCCTAGACAGGGTAAGTCGAGAGGCAGGGGTCGGGCTCGAACCACGGACCTTCCGGTCAGTAAATTAGTACCTTAACCACTTGAGACATCGCGGCCAGGGTCGGTCACTACAAGGAACGACTAGTAGTGACCGACCCTCGCCACCGGTAACTGACGGCGTTGTGATCTGTTTGGATTCGGACTGGTTTGTTGGTAGGCACCACGTTATCAAGCGATTTCCCCTGTTCACGAAGTCGTTACTGTAAAGGAACAGCTTGTGATCGACACGTGTGAAGTAGACGATTTCCTCTTTCCGTGCGTCTCGTATCCGACCCAAGACGACCTGGACCTCAGCAACGCTTAGTCTACTTACTTGGGTGTTCATGTCACCAGCAACCACCACGATGTCTGAGCTTTTAGCCCGTCTTAAAAAGGCACCTAAAGCATCATAGAAACTCTCCTTGTCAGCTTCAGAGCTACAGTCTGTTTGGGGCGTAAGCCTACACAATAAACAGGATGCGATGGACCTCGCTTTCCATAGATTCTTTCACAGACGTTACCAAATGAACCGTGCAGATGCGACCATCAATGGGTATTCAGTCCAGTTGAGATTCTTTCATGGGGACAGTGCTTGGAGCTGATGGCCCAATGGTCTGATCTGCTTAGTTACAGGGTGCTGGCCTAACCAGAGGGCGCAGAGAGTAAGGCATTATTGTATGACTTCCAGTGCAACTGCGCCTTTGAGTGGCAACAAACCGTTTGGTTTTAAAAGTATTTCGACCGTGTTAAATAGTATGCCGAGGGTTACGGTCAACCTTTGGGCGATGGGAGTGTACTTTTTCAGGACTGGACTTTCTTAACATGTCCTTCTTTGGAAGAGAAATTACATAAATATGGACATACCGCTTAGCTGGATAAAAGATCTCGTTGCCTGCGCACTTCTATCGCAAGACACAAAGTACGACTTTACCCCCAGACCGCCTCGCGAAACGATTACTCGTAATACATCTCGCTGCTCTTACTCTTGCTACTCCGCCTTAGCCTTTCTGGCATCTCTGTACCGTGTGGAACGAAGTTCCAGCCGGTATAGTCCGCGGGACCGTTGTAGCACTCAATATAAATCACCACGTCAAGGTCAGGGAGTTATGTGCGATATATTACCTCGTATACTGCGGTCAGATAAGCACCAATCACTAGGTCGGTTCATATGGAGCTATCGGACGTATGTCTTTTGTGCACAAAGTTCGGATCTAAGGGATTGGGTGGCAATAGCTCTTGTAATCACCTAGTCTGACCGCTTTGGACCGGCTTTGTGTCACTTCGAACACGATTTTTAAAGCAGTGCTCCGATTATCAACGTAACCCCTGTGGACTAGGTAGGCCACAACAGAACTTTGGATTTTTCTTTGGCTCCCAGGGTGAGCCACTGTGTGTAGTTTTCTCTAGCCTGAGGCCAGTACGACGGATTAGATATTGTCAAGTTTAATAACGTAACCTTTTCAGGTACAGTAGAAGACTTTGGGGATGGATTTGGGTTTTGCATCTTTCCTTCAGATCCCTAAGTACTGAGCTGTCGTTCTGCTATGTATAGTTGTAAGATTTATCTTGACACTGCGGTGATAGTGATATGCACAAATTAATTGTACACCCTTTGGAAGTTACTAGTAGACTCCGGCGATGTGTGAGCTTTGAAGACGACGCATGACGGACCTAAATGTCATATGGGTGATGACAGGTTAGGGAATAAAATAGATTGCTGCACACTTAGCTGTTCCTTGTTAGCAACCAATTAACTCTGTTTCTTTCGCCTTTTTAGATGCTACTCTACGTCGGACTTCTCTTGTCCTTTGCATGTGCAAATGGTGAGTCGAATTTCTTGCCGCCACCGTAGCTCTGTTTTATCATGCCCATCTGCTTGATTTGGTAGTTTTCCTGGTGCCCAGTAGGTCCGCACTGATTCTGCTATAACCTGATTACAATTGGCTGATCGTATAGGGTTTGTGTTTATTACTTAGGTGTGGTGATAGCAGCCAGAGATTCCTTTATTCAGTTGTAGTAGAGCGACAAATTTGCCTACCTGTAGGCTTTAGCTGCGCCTCCATTGTATATGTAGGCCCAACGTTTGATTTTATTTTCTAGTGTCTGTCAAAGGCCAGTGTAGGTCTTAAGAACGCGTGTGGTTTTGTAGTCGGCGTGATTTGACATTTTCTTATTTCAGGACAAGTCACCTGACAAACAAACATATTGTCCGTCGGGTGGGACATGGAATCATATCCATGGATGAAACTTGTTTACCAGGTGAACTGAGCGTAAGGTTTCGGACGATCAATTAGGCTTCAGCTGGACATTTCCGTAACGTTGTCTTGCCGACCCAGCAAGTGTTGGATGAGAGTTTGGCTCTCTGTTTCTTGACAGGAAATAGCCCTGTTTTGTTTGGAATCTCGCTTCCAAAAGGTTCCGTGGTTTATTTGCGCAACTTATTAAGCTTTCGGTTCACAAATTCGAGGTACATCCTGAGGATCGGTACAACAGCTACTGTAGTAAAGGCTCTATGGGTGGTTTTGCAGTAGGACTGATGAAGTGGATTGACATTGGTCACAACTACTCGACATGATTCTCTTATGATCACGAAAATCGAACTCGAAATTACTGGCGTAACTTTACTTTATGTGAAAGACGAGTTCTTCGTAGTCCATGGGGTGAGATTGCTTAGTGCTTAGAGCGCGAAAGTCCTGGCGGGAAAGTCCTTTGTTCGAAGCCGACCTCCGCGTCTCGACTTCTTTTGTCTAGGCTTGGGAAATCTAGTAGTATCCCAGCCTTCGTGCTTCCTTCGGGTGACATGGCAGCTAGGCCCTGAAGAGGTATTACAGCTGAACCATTACTTTTTCATCTGTCGTAGCCCGCCTGACCTCCAAAGGGTAGCCTCCTTAATTCATAACAGCATGCTTTATTTTTCAACTTCCGGGACGTACGGCAATGAAGCATCGGTGCTCAACACGGATGTCATGCTGTCGATGATGGTAATGATGATGACTCCCGTGACTTCCTTTGGGTTGCTCGCCTTTTGTGTTAACCGACGCGGACCTACTGGTCTGTAGCAATAATCCGTTGACCACTGATGTGTTTGTCATGCGCTGGTATGTCACTTCGTCCTGGGAACAGGTCATCTTGTAGCCATGACAGTGAAAACAAGGACTGTCATTTGTCCGGGACCCTTTAGTCGCGTGACAGGACTAGAAAAGTTCACAGCCCACTTGGGTACTCTTTGGCATTGGTTTTCGCCCGGTGCTACTTTTGCCGTCCACTTAACAGATTCTTCCTCACCCCTTGACTATCGTAACTGAGGACCCTATAGTTGTCAAGATAAATGCTCAAAACTTTGTTCACTAGTTCTGGGTCAGGGGTGTTTTCCATCCATGCTTCCTATGGACAGTCTGGTGGAGACAGAGGTGCTGAACAGATAGCGCTGTCTGACGGCACCCATAGTTGAGTTTAGCATCACGCCACTGCCGTTTACACCTATCCAGGTGACGTGCTTGATCCCGGGTTATATATCGGGCTGTCAAATTTGACGTAACTGAATCTAGTGCGGTTGGATTCAAAGTTCAACTGCATTTTCATCGCTGTACCAATACCAGTGCTGCTGATTGTGTGATCAACAAGCGTTTTATCATCATCATTATCGTTGTAGCTGCCGCAGTTTCGTTCACCGATGTT